GCCTTACCCTCCATGCCGGGGTTCGGATCTAGTGTTCAAGTGGCGCCCTCACAATGCCCACGTGTTGGTTCCTAGGGATCTAGAGAGGAATGTTCAGCGGCCAGTCTCTACAAATTTTCCCATGAAAAGTTGCGATGGGTATCAAGTTGAACCTAATTTCACTCCCAGATGTTTCAACATATCTCTGGAGGAGACTAGAATGAAAAAAAAAAACTGGGCTATTTCCCTGGGCTCATATTATAGCACAAACTCCCCACAGGTCGGTGAGCCATGAACTCGGAGGTGGATTTGGGTAGGAGCCACTAGACAACTCTATTCATACTAAATGAGGCCCCCGAGTGAAAGAAAGGCTTCCGCCAGGCAGTTGGAGAAAAAGGAAAGAACAGGGCCGAGAAGAGAAACACTAAAAATATGGCCGGGAGATAAAAAAAGCACCCTTAGCCTCGGAATATGACGTATAAAGCCTTGCCCTAGCAGTGTTGGATGTGTGTGGAGGAATGGGTGAGATGGTTGTATTTCCTAGCTACGATGAAGGCTGTAGATAAGGGAAATACATGACTGTCGAGCCTCCTCTTCTGCTCCTGGATCACCCGAAACCCTAAACACCTATACATGGGGGTAGCCACCTGTAGCACCTGCTAACAAGCAGTATCACGGATTGATGGAAGTATCATACCAACTCAATAAGTGGATAAAAATAAATCCGACCTAAATGAAGACATTAATGGGATTGAGAGCGAAGGTTACTGCACCCTATGGCACGAACAGCAACAGCCCTCCCTACCTCTAAGTCAAATCTCTATATTAACAGTGACGTAGTCAGGAACTTTATCCATAATAATAACGCAATATGGACAACATTATCGCACTCACGTAACATCACTCGGATATTCCCTTCATGCATCCAAGCCTCCAAGGGTATGGATGTTTCCCCCGAGGGTATCATTGACGATGCACCCACAAGCCAGACACGGCTTCATTCTCTAGGGAATAAATCCGGGAACAGTGGTCCAAACGCGAGGCAGGGCCTTCAAGCAGCTCCTTTCTCATTCCCCAGACTCAGTGATCCTAGAGCATGCAAGCATCAAGCTCACCTCTTTCCGAGAAAGTCAGCCAAAGGAATTGACCAGATCATGAACATCCAGTATCCGATAACGTAGCACATCCCTCTCGACATTTACAACACGAAACCCCAAAAAACAGAAACTCCAACAAAGTATGTCAAAGCGCAGGCTAAATGTTGACTACCTATGGGCTTGGTCGGCCGATTTTTGCGCGGAATACCCCTTCGATCGCCGGCCCGTCTATTGGTATCGTGTGGCGGTATGATATTAGGTGTCCCCGTTAGTACCGTACTGTGTAGTGGAAAATTTCCCTTTAACAATATATCACACCGGCATGTCTAGTTTCTGCCCTCTTTCATCCCCAGTGCCAAATCTGCCTCCAACCCTCTCAACAGGTAGAGCCGCACCCCTCTATCCCCGATAGCCGAAACCCGGGGAGTTTTTTTTCGGACGCAGCGAGCGATCCGGGATAACAGGTCGGGTTCTGGGGTAAAAAAAATTGGAGAGATTCATAAGAGGCAGTGAGCCGCCGTGATTATCGGGATCAGCGGCGCCACTGACCGTATAGCCCCCCAAAAATCCTTCCCTCGACCAACCGCGAGTGTCATAGGAGGGCTTCATCGCGGCCGTGCATATCATACTCGAATTCACTCGGGGGCTTCAATGGGGGCGTCGTGTCGTCAGGACGCGCGTGTACTCGAGCATATGATACAAGGTGATAAGGCACCGAATATGCAAGAGCACAAGTAATGGCCCTCCCCCCGAAAGGGTGATAAGTATCATACCGGTAGGAGCAAGCTTTGTAGCCAAGCAGCAACGCGCCAAGTAGTGCCCCCATTCACTAAAGTTCCTTATCCCACCACGGCAGGTGGGACAAGTTGACAGGAATAAACCTATAACTTAATAGGAAGCACCATATCCCCTCCGAGCCTCCATTTTTACAATAAACCGTTGGAAAGTTAAACTTAACTCCGAACTCTAATCAAGTCATCCACGCGCCTTCCGGCTCGCCTATGCACTACCCTACTACCGGTATACTGTGCCGGCACAGCACAGTACGGTACAGCACTCTATTCCAACTTCAGAGTAACTTGTAAGTTAGCCCCATGTCACACCTCCAAAGATCCTACTCGTACATCATGGTCGATCAAAACGTGTGACAGACGCCTTCTATGATGCAAGTTACCAGTAATAAACGGATAATCCCTCGCTAAGCGATCTATGATAATCATTCCCCTACCATCTACATTAATGGTAAGGAAGAAGAGAAAAGAGAATAGATAAATAATCTTCTCCTTCGGTGATGAACAGATCCCGTTGTCATCTCCCGACACATTCCTCCTGCTCGAAAATTTTCGGACACCAGTTTGAGCGCCACGGAGATGCTGTGTTCTTCCTTACTTATCATACCGCATGATAGTCTACCGTGCGACAAATCCCTTCCCTAGGTTCTCGAGCTGCCCCTCCCAAAAAAGGGCTTGCCCAATTCGCTGCAGGGTTAGTGATGTACTGTACTGTACTAGTACTGCACCGGTAGGGTACAGTACGATCTTGGCGCAAGAAGCTACCATTCTTTTGGCATTCCATTATTCACAAGTTACAACCAAAAATGGGGGACTTGATTCAGAATCCTCTTGATTATTTTGGTAAAAGTCCATTGCCACTTTAATTAATTCCGTAATGTTTCTGGATGAATTGCCAGTATAGGTTATTAAAGCCGCCCCCTTCGCCACAAGACGCTAGACTCACAGACCACAGACTTTGATGCCAACCTGAAGACGGTAACTGTGCTAGTATAGCAGTAGATAGGTCAGATAGCCCAACTTTTAATGACAGCATTGGAGAAACCCCGCCATCCAACCCGCAAGATCTGAGCTGGACTACTTCGATAAACCCTGAGATACTTACTGCACTTCCTTATCTCGTCCCATATTCTTCTCAAGCTACAAAGTATCCGCCATGTGAGGCACCGCGTCAGTAATGGATATGTTGGGAGGAGTGGCTTTACTCCATGAGAGCTATATGAAACCATGACTTGATGAATGCCTCGACATTGGCTGCTTGCACCCCACAAGTACCGGTAGCCTACATGTTCTCATTGGCGTGCTAGCATTCGAAGTTGAAGGGAGGAGCCTCTGGTAAAAGTTAGTGCATCCCATATACACATATATACATCACGTATCCTTAGTTCATGGTACGAAGGCACTGGCTTGTGCACACTAGCAGCTCGCACGCTAGCATACAAACCCCTTATCAAGAGGAGGATCTTATCATAAATGAGGATACTTTACACGAGTACAATCCGTCAACTGTGTTGACAGATTCCGAGTGGCACATCCGAGAGAACCTCCACAAACAGGTGTTTATAAACAGCTAGCTATGCTATGCATCCGAAGAAGAAGAGAAAAAAAGCTCACATCTTGCAAACCTACAAACAGATAATACTTAACAACGATAATGATAACAAAAAATTACGCTACAAGCTTTTACAACCTGAGTATACCCCATACGATGGCCAACACAGAAGGTGAAAGTGCTTTACAATATTGAACAGCGGACCTTGAGTAAGTCCCCAATAACTACAGACCCATCTCTACGAGACCTTCTCTTTACTCATTACCAATCACTCATCTAAAGTTGAAGCGGGAACTGGAAACTATCCTACAGCGCCTAGCGGGAACACTGAAAAGGTAGACTGTTAGTTATCATACCGGTAGTCATTGCCACACCTTATGCAACCGCACACAATTCGACCTTTACGAGCATTATAAATATCCAGAACTTTTGTCATCCTTGTTCTTTTTCTTTTCTTTTCGAAGGCATGTCCCCCTAGACTACACTCCTTCATTACAAGGAGAACAGCATCGCGCAGTAACTTAAGGTAAATTAACCGTTCCCGTATGTACTGTACTGTACCAAGCTTTTTTATAATAGTACTGTACCATACATGAACCGGCAGAGCGTGCTAAGATTCCCCACCCCTTCCAACTTTGAAATACCGGTATCTCCAATTGGCCACAGTGTGCGAGCACTGTGCTATAGTACCAGTGGTAAGTGACATATAGTCTATACCCGTGGCCGCTTTCCATGCCCGGCTACTACGACGTCTAAGTTACCGCTGTACAGTATCATACCTCACCATGACCCGGCACCACCGCTGCTACTCCTCCGGAGGGAATGGCACGACACCGCATAATGTATCCATTCCCCACAAGTATTATATCAAAGTTGATAGTGACGAATCTCCCCACCGTAAATCACGCTAAATGTTAAACTGCGGTACGAGTGCTCGAGCACACTACAGTATAATAGTGTAGTGTAACTAGTCTCAGACTATTCCAGAAAGGCTAATCAACCGATATCAATTACTTTCAGGTTGTTGTTGTTGTTTTTCCCCCTTTACTTAACCCAGGAGTGCGCCAGGTCCATCCATCCATCCCATCACGGAAACTTCCCCTTCCCCTGTACTAGCACAGTACCGTACTAAAAGTTTGGATACCCTACGATAATTGATAGCATTACAGAAGTGGTCCATCGCTCGTCGCAAACCATATATCCTGTCGCACTTCCAGTTGAAAGGTTTGTACCGTGCTCAAGTAATATGTTTCTATCCTGAGGTTCGCCATCCACGGTGTGGTACCGTACCGTACCTACCGATGATATGGGATGTCGGTATATGCTGCATAACCCGTTTAACTTACCCCCAGTCGAGTATATAGTAGTGGTTTATCCCCAGTACCGTGTAGGGAAATTCGGCACTGTCAACACTGCCGGGGATACCGGTAATAGTACGGTATTTAGACCCCCGTAACATTCGCCTGCCGTTAGAACAGTGCGGTAGTGCCGGTAACACAGGACCAACTCCTCCGGAAGAATTATTTCATCTTATTTTTTTTTACAGAAAAAACGATCAAAAATTTCTGTGCCATGACCTACAGTACCGTACAGTACCAGTACACCCCTTCCCCCGATACCGGCATCTGGTTAGCTCTATCAGCAACCCGGGGTCCAGAAGGGTCTTTATATGGGTAATAGTCGTTGCGGCTAAAATGGCTTTTTTTTTTCTTTTCCCTTTTCTCTCGTTCTCCATGATGACTCTTTACATCCAAGACTTGCTTTCTTTCCTTCTTTCTAGTTCCTTTAGTATCCGGCGTTTCCACGCGGTCTCTCATCCTCCGACGGGCCGATTGTGAGAGAGCCCAGTGCGGGAGCGATCTGTGCGATACTGGCACGCCTTGTGTCATATCTGCATGGCAGAAACAGCACGCGACCCAAGACCCTCCATTCCCTCCCTCTCAGATCGCCACGTTTTTCGCGCACATCTACTCCAATATAGTACCAGTATCTTACAAGTACTACTGGGTGCGAAGGGTACGTCAGCGGAAATCCCCAGTTGGCTCGATGGATTCCTCATACGCTCAGAGGACGGTGCTCGCTCCAGCCGCTAGGAAAATAGTTCTACAGACTCTTTTTTTTCCTCCACCCAAGGTCCCCCGTACTTGGGGACCAGATTGAAGTCGAACCCCACCAAAAATTGGAGTAATTGGGTTATCGCGCTGCGATTTGTAATCCGCGTTACGATACCGTATCGGTTACAGTATATGATACTCGCACCTAATTTCGGCCGGCCGGGCCACTTTCCTACGGACTCGCAAGTACGAGTACAGTACTCGTACGGGAGGCTCACACCCTGGGCACTCGCACAATGAAAACCAGGGCGAAAAGTCACATGACATGACTATGACTGCCCCAACCGAACACCCCCTACGTCACAGGTCAAACCCAGCCGCTCGCGCTCCCGCCCGTGCGCGAGTGCCAGACAAATACGGTATCTGAGCGACTTGGGGCCTAGATCCGCCTCGCGAGTGTGTGCCGGTATCCGGACCCTTCCCTTGCCAAGACCCATGCAAATAAGCGGATCCTTCGCGCTCTTTGAAGTCCGCGAAGCGACAGATGCCCGAATTTGCTCGTGAACTGTGGCACTCGTGTAACCGTCGGTGTCTTTTGTCGCCGGTGTCGGGCCGGTTGCTTGGATGAGCACTGCTATTCGTCGGGGATGAATGATTACTTATCCGATGTCCGACTTGTACTTTGTAGGGAGTTGATGGGTTGTCTTTGCCGTGTGTGTCCTTTTTTTTTCCCTCTTTTTCCTTTTGTGCTCGTATATATAGAGAAAGGGGGACGGGTAGACTGCGACGATGAATCAGAATCTGTAAAGGGGCTGGCACGAGGAAAAGCTTCAGACGAATCATCCATCTTTGAATGCGAAGTGAGTAGGAAGAGTGGGATAACACGACATTTTCGAAAAAAGAAAGAAGAAAGAAAAATTGTTTTGTGGATCAGAGATCAAGACTTGAGATATGTCCGGACAGCACGGACAAATGATGGTACTACACGACTCTCTACTCTTTTCATTCTTTCCTGTTGCGAGCCCGAATGAACAAACGGAATACTGACAGTGATCTTGGTACAACTAGCCCTCGGGACCTCCATACATTCCAAAGACAGCAGGTTATGGTGGTAGACCAGACAAAGGCGTAGATGTCCCGATTTCGTCCGTGTTCATCGCCATATTCTTCACCCTCGCCGTCATCCACATGGCGCTATTCGCGAGGAATCGGCGGAGAGGCCACTTCTTTGTGTTCAGCGCCGTCGTGTTTGGCTTCTGTATGTCTAGGATTGTTACATTTTCAATGCGGATAGGTATGGATACACACTTGCTTGCTTGTTTGGCGCTCCTTTGGATTGACTATCACTCGGCTGACAATACGGCGGTACGGCAGCTTGGGCGACACACCCGAGGAATGCGCAGGTTGCTATCGCTGCAAGTGTGTTTGTCGCTGCGGGTGTGGTGCTGTTGTTCGTTGTCAATCTGAACTTTGCACAGCGGTTGTTGAGAGCGTACCACCCGAGACTCGTGGGAAATAAGTTGTTCGACCGGGGCTTCTTGGTGTACTATATCTCTGTCGTGCTAGTGTTGATAATTGGTACCGCTCCTCGCCTAGATGCATATATGCTGGAAAAAGCTGGATGCTAATACGCGGTTCTCAGTCATCACCACAACTGTCCAATCATTCTACACTCTGAGTGCTCACACACTAAATATCGACTCGAGTAAGATCCTGGGGCCGCGCCACTCATTTCAAAGCCAGTACTGACCACCCTGAAAGGTATCCGCAAGTTCGGGATCATCTACTTTGCCGTGTTTGCCTTTGCCCCGATACCGATGCTTCTGATCGGGAACCTCATCCCTTCCAACACTCCACGCCAGAACTTTGGCAAGCGGGGTGACTTGACGGAGAAAACCTTGATTGTCCTCTTCGCCTCCGGCATTCTCAGTACTACCCCCCCGCCCCTTTCAAGCCCCAGATAGTGCCATATAGTATTCACACTGACCGAAACAGCGCTATCCACCGCCCTTCGTGCGGCGACATCATTTATGCCCCGACCGGCTACGGATCCAGGTTGGTTCAATAGCCGCGCGTCATTCTATGTATTCACACCACTATTGGAGGTGGTTGTTGTGGCGATGTACGCTGCCACAAGAGCCGATCAGAAGTTCCATGTTGAGGGGAATTTTGAGCGGAAGAGGGCAGCCGAGTCCGGGGAGAATATTGTGGAAACGAGTGAAAAGGCCTAGCGTTTGGCGGCCCTTTTGTAACGCGATGGATACGGCTCTTGCTTTCTTAGGTCATCAATTCTTGGACCAGGAGAGTGGGAGAAAGCTTGTTTCCTGTTTCATATCCGAGTAGAGAAATCGCTGCACACAAGCACATATGTATGATTAATCATAATAAGAAGCGCTGAGTTCTGTAACCCGGTGCGAGTATCATAATATGATGCACCGTGTCCCGCCGGAATCAGGAAAAGGAAGTGCTTCCAAAGCAGCTTTGAAATACCAGTAAATGCAACACTGACTTCCATGGCCTAACCGTACAGTACGGTAGTCACAAAGCCATTCTTGAAGAAACACCCAAACCACCAGCACAAGCACCGTGCGCGCCAGGGATTAACGAGCTGTGGAGAACAAGCACGGAATTGGCCACTCAAAAACGGGTGAATTCAGGAGGATTTTGAAGATGTTCGACTGCGGACTTATTTAGAATCCCATCCATGTTCTCAAGAAGACCTCCCTGTTTGATGTGTAACATCCCAGATCCCTTTGGCCGCGGGCTTCTGCATTGATCGTCCCGGTTCTCGGCGGTCTGGATATGATATGATACCTCCCCCAGGAAACTTCCTGGCAATGAGTACTGTATCCATGACGGACACGGGAAATGCCTCGAGGTAGATGGCCGCAAGCCCTAGACAAAACATCAATCAGGTTGTAAAATCTCTCAGTAGGTCAGGGCTGCCTAGCACAGGCAATCCAGAGGCTCTATAAACCAAAGACCAGTGCGTCTAAATAGGGTATTGTGCCACCGGATATTATTGATCGGGTGGAACGCTGTACCGAGGAGGGAGGAACTACCCGAGAAAGATGAGGTGTAGCGATCCACAAGGGAGGAAGATTCGTGTGGCGCTAGTTCCCCGATGTGATTGGGAAATGGCGTAAGGCCACCGATGCCTTGCGGTAGGTTGGCCCTTACCGAGCGTGCAGTAGTCTATCAGCACAGCACCGTTCGTATTTGATGGGTTTTTTCTTCTTCTTTTCTTCTTTTCTTTTCCCACAATGCCAGGCCACGAAGGGTTGCAGGCAACCTGGCAACCCCGCACAGCTATGCTGAGGCAATGGTTCAAGACATCCGGCACCCAATATGTATCCTGAAAGCGCAAGCTTGCAGATTTTCCCGGGCATGTATAGCACTCGTGCAGTTCCCCGTGGGAAAAAAGGGTCAGCGGTAGGTGAAGTTTATGGCCAAGTTTCGGAACAACTGGTTCAGAAATAAGCTTTGGAGGCGTCAACGGGTTTCTCGCTTCAATATCCGACAGGTTATGGCAGGGTGAGTTAGGGTAGGGATTTCACCAAGGCTACCGTGAGAGGCGGGCATGTGCCCAATAAGCATGAGCATCTGTTGCGCACATTGGAGGCGAAAACCAGGGTCAATCCCTTGGAACCGACCAGTACAGTAGACGTCGCAGAACAGATAGCGATTGTACCACATCCAGAGGTGGCCCTTGGAGGTTTCACCCTCCCCGCCCCCAAATCCTCACCGGGGTGGTCAGCGCCGGGGGAAATTTGGTTAGGAATTTGGACAAGCTTTGATGTCGACCAGACGATTTTGCATGATAAAGCGTGGGATATCCGGTACGATACGCGTATACCGTATACTGGGGACTCGGAAATGCTCCAACGTTCACGTCCAGGAAAGGGAGGAGGTTCAGAGGCGCCATTCTCACCTTTCCCCTCACCCTTTCCATTCTCCACGCAACAACTGCCCTCAAAACCATCGCTCGAGCGGAGAGCAGCAGAGCACGCTATCATTAGCTTCGATCATTGGCGCAGCCCGTCCCCAGAACACTCTAATGATCTTTGAAACCTGTCGACCATCAGATATCAGCCCAACCCCACCGAGACTTTGCAAACTTGACCAGCATTCCTGCGAGCGACTCGAGTAATCAATGCTTACAGTGAGATAAAGGCCCCAATCCCAGACCATCGGAGCTCATCCGGGGCTGTCAGCGCTCCCGGGAAACCCTTAGGTGCTGATAGGAGCTGTGGATGATTACCAACCACCATCTGTGGACCTCCGACACAGATAAGCCGCGGGGGGTGATCTTGATGGCGGGGCTCTCTCCCGCGTGGAGCGATCTTATATCAGGAGTCCGCACTGCGTCCGGGAGCGCCCTCGCCTCGAGACATAGCGATATTTACCATTGCCCCGCTAGGGGAGGGCTTGGACCAGGCTGAAAACCGCTTGGGCTGTTGGCAACGCTCGGTGTTGCAGTCAGTGCTAGGGTTATCGTGGCGTTCGCTCCACGAGGGTTGAGACATTGCGAGCTGAGTGGGTTGTGACCTCGGGAATCAGTGTTATCGTAACTTTTTTTGCCTGCAAGGGTTGCTTTTTTCTGCCGGGATTAGCAGAGCAGTGAGGAAACATTTGGATCGGTGCATCCATAACTCCGGCTACGCTCTTTGTTCGTGGGGGGGCCCTGTAGAAGTAGCCCTTCCCAATTGTTATTTACGGTACTCGTACAGGAGCCAGGCAAGGTCCAACTGCCGCATTGAAGTGTTTATGGAGCAAATGGTCCGGGAAGTAAAGGTACGGTGGAGCACCGAGCGAGCCAACCTTACCCATATCACCATAGTTCTTAGGTATAGTACTGTGCTCGCACTATACGGTATCGCGCTACCGTCCACCGCCGTACACTTTATGCTGTACCCTGCGTACCGGTAGTTAAACGGGGCCAGAGAGGAGGAATAGTCTGCCGTAGAATCAAGTTCACCTCCGACTTACGAGTACACCCCCTCCGCATAAGCCATAATCCGGTGCCGGTACCGCGTTACTTCCGTCAAACAGAATGGCATCAGATGAAAGAAAATAGCGCATCATCACGTTGGCAATCTCCATCGTCCCACGGTAGCCCATCCTATGTACCGTAGCGGTGCTGTGCCAGTACCTGTACTTCCAACTTCCAACAGTCATGATAAGCATGAACCCAAACAATTGCTCCCAAACAGGTTAAGCCAGAAGCTCGAAAGTGCTATGCTACTTGTCCTTGTACCGGCGCCGCTATCTTGGATCCAAGAATGTAGCCCTGGCGACACCCAACCCTCTCAAGTGAAGTTGGTTCTCCCCTCAGTGAGCTTCCACATTGAATGCGTCTATTACCATCAGCCCGGGCTTCACCACGACGTTCTCACTCACCCATACCCGACCATACCTTTTTTTTTTTTTTCTTCCTTTCCCTCTACTCGTACGGTAGATCTCGAGCTCAACCCCAGCCTTACGACCATTCAAGGTTCGCAGGGTTCGGGAGGACAGGTACGAGGGATAATGCATGTCTTCGCTTGGCAGCGTCGGAGCTACAAGTATGATACAATAGGGTGCTTTTTTTTCCTTTTTTTTTTCTTCCTTTTCCTCTTCAAAGGATTGAAACTGAAATATAACCGGTCGACAGGGATCACAGGGGTGGGCGATAGGTATGATAATCCATTCGCTTGACGCGTGCAGGGAGAGGTGAGAGAGATGGGAGCGAAACGGTGGGGTGGCCACCACCCCCGAATGCGATAAGCAAAAAAGTACGGTAGATACGGTGGAGCGGTATCGTCAAGGATGTGGAGGGGGGAAGCCAAAAGCCCGACCATGATACCCTGCACCGTACAAACAGAAACAATGGTCCTCATTCTGACCAATCATTTCTCGGAAGACAATACGGTACAGGAGGTGCACGTTTTTTTTCCTTTCGTTCTTTTATTTATATCTCCTTCCAGGAGTCTGCCGTACTGCACGGTGGGCACCATGCTCGTGGAGAGTGGGGTGGGAGAGAGATTCTGGTGTCTCACGCTTTAGTCTCTCACTGTCTGTGTGCCCACCGCTGTCCGTGTGCTTGGTGGTGGTGGTGGTGGTGGTGTCCGGGTGTGTCTGCAACTGCACTGCAACTGCAAATGCGAATGCGAATAGCAGGACAAAATGGAGAAGAGGGCGTGTGGGAGAGGTGCACTCTTCCTCTCGTGGACGACAGTGACGGAAGGCTAAGGAAAGTGGAAAGTATCATGGTCCACCGTAGGTAGGGTCGTACGCCTTCTGCCCCCCAGCAAATGGTTGCCGTGCTGGGAGTTGATCGGGTCCACAGGTTACTGCATCTGCTTCAGAGATATCATATTACTTGCCTGCGGTACTGGGATGTGCTGCTCTGCTTGAGAGGGATCAAAAGCTTCTACGTACAGTACAGTGATTAGACATGCGGTAATACCGGTACACTGCGGTAACCTGTGAAGAAACATCCAAAAGGGTGGGTATGAGACTCTACCGGTACTCGTAGACTGCTAATCCAGAGACAATCCTCCATCTCTCATTCCTTATCCCACCAACTGCTGGAGGGCGGCCACGACAACGTCAGAGCCAATTTTTGTCCCGCCTCGTCAACACCTCCGTGATCTCTTTAACTATTCCCCTCCTCATCGTGCCCATTTTAAACTCCTCCTCATAACGCCCCCTTCCCACCCTCCCCCCCCCAAAAAAAAAGAAAGGGAGAAAAGAGGGAGAAAAACAAAAAAAAACATCTATCGTCTTCCCAGCTGCGTGCATTGAACAGAGTGAGGGAGACCTCTGGTCTAGGGGTGTTCTCGCTGACCCGCACTGTCTCCCCGTCTCGGATCCAGCACTGGTATCATAGCTGCGTCTCCACCGCTCGGTATCTCTTGCTTGCGGTGCGACGGTAGGATACATACCGTACCCACACCCATTCGATATTCGTACACGCCTGCACACCTACCCACTACCGTATCCGCCTCCATCCTCCATCTCTCCCTCCCTCACACCAAGGGAGGACACCCGTCACTTTCGCAATCAACTACACCCACCCTCTCCGCCCTTCCCCTCTACCGCACCAAGAACCTCCCTCCCCCACAATTTCCCTCTGAAAGCTGTTTCGCCCAACGAATTCCGCTATCATACATATCCCCCCCTCCCCCGCTATTTCACCCCTACTGCCACGCCGGAATTTTACCCTTCGACGCTTGCACCCACCTCCATCTATTCGCCCAATACCATTCTGATCCCCGTTCCTGCTGCTGCTTTCACCGCAGCCCTCTACCCCATCCTCCGATCTCTCGGACACAGCATATTGGGGCGTCACAACTGCCCCATTCGGTGTCAATTCTCCGACCTCTGCCTTTCGGGGTCGTCGAGCAGACCAGACCGGTCCGGGTAGCGTCACCAAGCATCTAGGTCTATACAGCAAACTGAGGATCCCTTTATCGGCCATCCGCACTTTCCACACTCTTGTAGTTCATCGCAATAGAAAGTGATAGAAGGTGGTTGCCATGGCTGCCGTGGCCATTCAACCTCCAAGGGACACCCCGACGCCTCCACCAATGCCTACCACAACACCAGCCCCGGCCCTACCGTTACCTGGCGCCGCTTCTGCTACCGCTCCCATCCCGATCCCGAATAAGCACATGGCTGTATCCGGGCCTGGGGCCCCCAACTACGGGAACCCAGTCACGCCCCCCGCTTCTCCCCATTCTGAGGAGTCGCATTCGTCTGAAGAGGGGAATCGTTCTATGGCCTCTCTGTTGTTTCCAGCGGAAAACCATACCCTGATCTCGGAATCTCCGCCCGTCCGTGCCATTGATGCTGCTGGCGTTGCTGCCTCCCTCAACTATAGCTCGAGACAGAGTTTACCCGATATTGAACAACTGTTTCCCTGGGCCCATGGCCTCCATCCGGACAATTCAATGCAACTGGCCTTCTTTTATGCCCGTAAGAAGTCAATGAGGAGGGCACCCACTTGTTATCGTGGTATCTGTATTGTCAAAGTTGGGGATATGTCTTGCGCAAGGTTGAAGGGTGCGATTACACCGGAGGAGATTCTTCCGTCGAGCCCGGCGACCACCGGTTTTCTGGTTGTAGATCCGAGGGAGGGATTCAATGTTCGTAACTTTCACATCCAAGTGGGAAAGTTTGCATGTCTATCTGATATCATCGTTTACGGAGATAATGATGTCGATCCCGGGGAGATCACCAGGATTGCGAAACGTATCTCCACCGCCCAACTGGACTACAGGGCTCAATGTCAGAAAAGTTCGACGCGGGAGTTCCCCATATACAGCACTTTTGTTGTCCAGAGTGAGCTACTGCTCTTCTTGATCCATTCTCCCGATCGTGGAAGCGCTGACAAGACTAGGTCCGTTCTCCATGTTTGAGAATTGCTTTCCAGAAATAGTTACCATAGACTCGGCAGGGAATCTGACGGGAAAAGTGATCGATTTTTGTAAGCTATCCCCAATCCGTCCCGGCGGATAAGACACCCTAACGCTTTAGCAGGTCATTGGGAAAGGATGGAAATGTGCTCCATGTCTAGGGCAACGGAGATCTCCAAAAATGTCTGGCTAGGGTCTAGCGCCGATACCGCTCCAGAGCCTGAGCGTGAACCACCCTATGGTTTGTTGATTGAGGCTAGTGACCTGGCTCAAATGCCATCAATCGACAGCCTTCGAGATCTGGGTGAGATCATGGACCACACGGATGCAACGCAATGCATTGAATTTCCTGGCTCGGGCACAATGGTACCGCAAAGGTATACAGCCACAGAAGTCGACGGCTTTATTGATGCTTGCCGTTTTATACAATCCGTCGCAAATGGAAAGCATCAAGAGGCGCATGACGCTGATGGCGATCTCCCCATGACTCCACCCCGCGAGCCCCGTCGGATATTGATCCATTGTACCGATGGCTACACCGAAACCTCGCTGCTGGCCTTGGCGTATCTCATGTACACTGAAGGATTACCTGCACATTCGGCCTGGGTTCAGCTGCATACCGCTAAAGGTCGAAATTTCTTTGCGTATGAAAAGGACCTTCATTTCCTTCGCTTTGCCGAGCACCGGATTCTTGAGGCGGCTGCCGAGGATAAGGGCTATTGTCTCAACTACGCCGTACTCAATTCCCCAGGTTGGATCCATCGCATGGATGGGTCACTGCCTAGCCGCATTCTGTCTTACATGTATCTGGGGAACCTGCAGCATGCTAATAATCCTGGGCTGCTTGCTATGTTGGGTATCAAGCGTGTCCTGAGTATCGGCGAGGAGCTATCCTGGACGGACAGAGAAAAAAGTAAATGGGGAATTGGTAATGCGATGGTTGTTAAAGATTTGCAGGATAATGGATGCGACCCGCTAGAGTACCAGTTCAGGCGGTGCCTGGACTTTATTGGTATGCCGACTGACCATTCTCTCAGCTGTGTTCATGCCTTGCTGATATCCTCTAGAAGAAGGCCGCCATGCGGATGAACCAATCCTCGTGCACTGCCGAGTAGGAGTCTCCCGGTCAGCGACAATATGCATTGCCGAGGTCATGCGTGCTCTCAAGCTCTCGCTTCCCCGAGCCTAGTAGGTTTTCAAGCCGGGGATTTTTTTTCTTTGCAGGCTATTGCTAACGAATGTTAGCTGTTATGTTCGCGCTCGTCGCCTCAACGTTATCATTCAGCCCCACCTTCGTTTCATGTATGAGCTGCTTAAATTTGAAGAGAAGACCTCTGTCAAGAGTCGTTGCGCACCCAAACGCGAGTTGGAATGGACTCATATAGCACGGGAGATTGCAACAATGAATCGTCCCTACACACGCCAAAATTGATAGCCCATGCGAGCCTGTTTGAAGTACCTTTTGTTTTTCGGCACTTCTCTTCGATTGCGATAAATATTCTATGAATTCTTTTTTTCTTTCCATCTTCCATTCCGTTTCTCTATATTTTGTAGTCACAGTCGCTGATCTCTAGCTGCTACATTTTATCCATTTTCTTCACTATTTCCTTGTGGGTGTTTTTTTTTTTCTCCTTTGCCCCCCGGTTCCCCTAGTTGGCTGTTTTGGGGGGCACCTCCTATTTCATTTTATTCTATTACCCGCATATCTGGTTTTGTCTGTTAGTTACGGTTTGGTTCTCGGATATGGCGTAGGGGTGAGTTTCAAGCATTCGCTTTTTCTCTGCTGTTCCCGTTTCTTGTTCTGATTTTGCTTCTGGATCGCGGTAGCTTGGGAGAATTGGGGAGTCTCTTTAGTTCACATTTGTCTTTTTACCCTTTACAGCTACTAACAAATCACGGCACGCATCGCTCCCTCATCACGGGAGGCTTTTTAGTGGGAGTCATTTTGTCTCTAAGTGTAAGTTTGGAATTTACCTAGCGGGGGGGTTCATTTCTTTTCCCCTGCAAAGTTTCTTGAATCAAAAAGACCCAGATATACCTCCAGCTCTTGTTTTTTTTTTTTTTTTTTTTTTAAATGGAAAAAAAATTTGATTCAAGTTTTTCTTCCTATTTTTCTTTTGCAGCTGCCCTTCATTTACACCGATACAATTTTCCGGCGATACCTATTAGGCTGCATTTCTGATATACCGCTGAATCACGCATCAATAGTAGAAGACATGCAAAGCATGCAAAGAAGGAAAGGAAAGGAAAAGAAAATTCAGCTTTTTTTCTTCTCTCTGGAAAAACCAGTGATATTTATTATACTCGAGTGCATGTAATAGCATACCGGTGGAGCATGTCACCCACCACCGGTAGCCCGTACAACTTACCGACATGGAGAGACATGTCGTCAACAACGTACCGCTCGCCCGGGCCCCGCTACCCGAGTATATATGCTGAGCCAGATCATCCACCTTGTCGTATCACAAATTTCTCACCAGCACTTGTAGGGAACTACGAGTATGTACTGGTACGTACGGCCGGTTCGGATAACGGTACCGGTATGGTAATGGTATGGTATGGAGCATTGGAAACCCCGCAAAAAAGGAAAAAAAAATGAAAAATGACACCCACTGTATCATGGTAACGCCAGTATGGGGTCGAGGTATCATATGTCGTGCGAGATGGGGGGGGGGGGCGTACCGTACAGTATCATACTCGTAGCGGCACGAGATTTAGAACCACCCACCGCCCTACTGTACCATACATAACCTGTACGAGTATCATAGACCCTGGTGGGTACCGTGCAGTACCGCGCCCTTTTTTCCTTCTTTCCCACCAATGGGCAACGAGGCAGTCGTCACCGCACGGTGCCCGAGTACCCGTACCGTACAGTTATCCAAGTGTTTCTGCAGTTCAATACCGCATGGGAATTTGTGGGGAAGACCAGGGAGGGGGGAGGG